TAGCAGGACTGGGTTCTGTGGGGGAGAGAAAAGGATCTTATCACTGCCGAGAATCGAACTCCAGCCATCCAGCCCGTAGCTCGTGGCTATGTTAAATAAGACGACTGCTTTCAAAACATTAATTTATAACACCTAAATATATTTTATGTCATCCTTCTTCTTGTTTGTCATTATGCAAACGTTAGCACCTTATCAGCAACTAGCCTCAGCTGATTGGATGGTATTGAATTGGAAAGGACGTGGAAGGAAGCAGTAGTGGCCTACTTTAAGGCACTATCCAGTTATTCGCCTGGAGAAAGCGACTGTCAACAAAACACTATACAACAAATGTCAAGCGTTCTTATAAGATGGAACCATTGAAATTAACATACAGCAATTTAAAATTAACTGGAGTTCTACTATCAACAACGGAAGTGACTGAACCAATTAATTAGAGAAAGAGATAGTTTTTTTACCATAAACTCGGAAGATACATGAGCGTTCACTGCATATCGTCATATAACCAAGAACTACGTAGAATTGTGTATCCATGCATGTCCACATATCTCCGACTGCACACTTGTTTCTCGATATTGTGAGGATAAGCGATGAGAAATTGTACATAGAATGTTGAATAGGTTATAAGAGGCTATACCTGCCAGTGTTCTCAGATACACTTTCTCCACACTTAAACAAATAATGATAATAAGGTGACATGACTACAGAAAGCCGAATAGTACATTGCTAGGCAAAGGCGGTAAACAGGTTCCAGCGGAAATGCGCATGCACTCAACAATAGAAGAACTGCTGTTTCTATCCAGCTACGAGGTAAACATACCTTTGTAACAATAGAGAAATTGTTAGAAAACGCTGTTTTCTATGTGGTTCCTGCCGAGATGTTATAAACAGGACAGTTTGAAGCAATGACTTACCAACCTGTCTGGAGACGAGGTCAATAGCTCCACCGTAGCCCTGCGAGTCATAGGAGATGACGGAAAGGAAACCCAGTGCCTGACAGTATAACTGGGCCACCCTGTTCTGGGGGGACATAAATATGGGGGCCACTCTCTCCAGGTTGGGGGAGTCTCGATTCTGAGACAGTAAAATGTGGTCATTAGCCCCGCGGGACTCGGATCCGAGAGGGCAAGGTCTAGCAGCTGTAAACGACAGACCCATCCTCTCGTCATAGACGATGTTACGTGAGGACTGTGACCGCAAGTGTTCAGTGGGGGCAAAAAAAAAACTACTGGTCGTGAGTCTCAATGGGCTTGTCGCCAAGACGAACTGATTGGCGGTAAACCGACAGTCGTAAAGTAACTCTGATTCTGACTCTGTCAACGAATTTTTTGTTGTCAGGAGAACTGAGGGAGTCTCTGGAGTCGAAGGTCGAGGATGACTAGGTTGGCAACGAGCCAGTTGGGCCTTGCAGCCGGTGGGATATCATCGATAGCGCTGTAATTGCCTGTCGCTCCGAGAGCTGCGTATAAGATGACAATAAACCCCGTATAATAGTCACCCCTACACGTGACAATAAAAATCATCATCTACGTCAAGGTAGGCTTTTATTAGCTTTTTCCATCTTGAAGGCTATCCTCCTGTCGTCTCGGTCGTCTCATATTTCTTCGTCCGTCTGGTTGGTAATCCTTAAGTCTTACGTCAGTCTTGAAGAGCACGTCCTTAAGATGAGATTATGCCACTTGTTTCAGAAGCCTTGGATCCTTTCCCCTAAAGCACATAATAATACGGAAAATAATAACTTTGAGAAAACGACAGTGTTTGATGACGTGTCTGTGACAGGAATGGATACAGGTTCTTGCAGGGACTGGTTTGTCCGTCAGACATAGAATTTGAGTGACATGCCTCTCTTTAATCCTTCTTATTTCCTGCTCAAAACTAAAAGTTTTGACAAGAGAGTCATTATTCTTGTCAAAAAAAAATAAGCAAGTAACGGTAGAGTACGTCAAGATGACGTATATACACGTCTCCATTTGCAACGTGACAATATGAAATTACTATCCAGAGAAACTGAGTAGTATACCTAACTAAAGATCCACGCCATATCGCAATCAGGACTGTGTGCTTTAACAAGATTTTCATTATTTCTGTCAGACATTTCAAACGAGTAATGGTACAGCACTTGACAAAAAACATGCAACTACTTCCCCATCAACTGCGTCGCCAAAGAAACTTATTTGCTTGTGATTTCATAAGATTGGAGTCACCGGATTCGTAAATAGTTTTAGAGTTTGTGGCCCTCACAGCGGTGGTTATGAAGAGTATTATCATCTGGGATACAACACCGTGTAGCCTGCTGGAGTCAACCGACGTTTCGGAGGAACATCTCGCCTCTATTTTCACGGCCGAAAAATAAGCCAAGGAACAAGCCAGAGTAAAACTGCTAGAAAGTAGCGCTCTTATTCGGTTTATTTTTCGTTTCCTCCGAAACGATGGTTGACTTCCAACGGACTACACGGCTTTATATCCCAAAAGCAGACTCTTGGTATCTAATAGTTTGTGGTGGTTTCCTGCATCTTGTGGTTAGATATCTGAAAGTCCTCAATTTTAAATCTGGGTTAGATAAATTATTTTGACTGAAACTGTCGGTGTTCTTTACCAATCCTCCGAGAAAATGTTATGAATTGGATCTTGAAATATGCTACGACCGATTCCCTTCAATTTTGCATTCAGTCTCGTCCTTCCATTCGAGTCCGTAGACCTATATCATAATTACTTACTTACTCATGGAGCTCAGCCCTTCTGGAGGAGCCGCAAATTTTGAAGCTACTCAAGAATTTCCCAGCATTTTATGGAACCCGAAGATTCATTACCGTGTTCACAAGAGCCCTCCACTGGTCCCTATCCTGAGCCAGATCTATCCAATCCATACCATCCCACCCTATCCATTCTAATATTGTCCACCAACCTACGCCTTGGTCTTCCCTGTGGTTTCTTTCCTTCCGGCTTTCCCACCAATATCCTATACGCATTCCTTGTCTCCCCCATTCGCGCTACATGACCTGTCCACCTCATCCTCCTTGACTTGGTCATTCTAATTATACTTGGAGAAGAGTACAAGTTATGAAGCTCCTCATTGTGCAGTTTTCTCCAACTTCCTGTCACTTCATCTCTCTTCGCTCCAAATATTCTCCTCAACATCCTCTTCTCAAACACCCTCAGTCTATGTTCCTCCCTTAATGTCAGAGACAAAGTTTCACACCAATACAGAACCACAGGCAAATTTATAGTTTTGTGTAT